ACTCGGGATGCCCGAAAAGTGGAAAGAAAAAAAATTGGTTTCAAAAAGGCTCGCAAAAAAACTCAGTTTTCCAAGCGATAAATGACTAAATATTTTTTGAATATTAGAAGAAGTGGCATGAGTGATGATTACGAAGGTAATATAACTTATAAATTTGATTTAGAAACACCGCTGGCTTTCCCCTTTACTATTTATCCCGATAAAGAACCACCGGTATGAAATAATTATAAATTCTTGGAAGTTAAAACTCAGCAAACCAAAAATAAATTTTTTCGCGATACTTCTGGTAAAGAAGGAGCAAGTAATCGTTTTAGTCCAATAGAAATTTATTGAAATCTGTGTGTCCCTGATAATAATAAAGGATTTTCGATGACTGGCTATAATGATAAACTTACTTTGGACGATACCGAAGACAAGATTTATTTAGAAATTTACCATTTTCCTCATTCTACTCTCATCATAAAACCCCAAGAAATTACTTGGAAAAATAATCTTATCCGCGTAAAAATAGAACCGAATAAAATCCGTGAGGGATTAGAAATTAGGCAAATAGAATTAGAAGGCAAAAGTATTGACAAATTTCATTCTATTATTATTAATTGTATTGAAAGAAGCAAGGATTTAACTCTTAATTTTACTACTCCCAACCATACTTATTTTCGGAAAAGTTATGCTAATGGTCAAGCAGACAATACTCTGGTTATCCCCCCAAATAGTTTACAGGAGGAGTTAACTACCCAAAATAATCCTTCCGCAACCTCTAATAAACTTCTTTATTTTCTTCTGGCAGGAGTTTTAATTTTGGTTTTTTTCCTTTTAGTTTTCTGGATAATTAAACTTCGCAAATCTCGCAAAAAATAATTATGGCAGGTCATTCCCATTCGGCAAATATTAAATACCGCAAAGATAGGCAAGATGGTGCCCGCAGTCAACTTTTTCTGAAAGTACGGAAAAAAATTGAAAATATCATCAGAGAAGAACACGAGATTAATGAAAAATCTTTAAGTATTGCCCGGGAAAATAAATTCCCCAAAGAAAAAGTTTATCAGATTTGAGAAAAAATCAAGGG